CCTCTACTTCTTCGACGGAGAGCGCCACAAATTACCACGAGAACGCTAGCATGGGTGTTTGGACAACGGCCATATCCCACAGTGTACCGGAGCAGGATGATTCGGCACAGGAGGAAAGAAGCTACACCCAACCTCACACAACGTACCTACGACCGCAGTACGAGCCCAGTCTCGGGGAGAGCTACACCTACTCTGGTATCCTACATAAAGACTCTTACAGTCAGCGCGCCACGCCAGTAGATAACGCTAGTTGGATGAGAGGAAGCGACGATGACGCTGCCTATGTTATTCCTCCCATGAGAACGTTAGGTTTTGATCAGGACTCTGGCATCGACTCTAACTCTACGCATTTACCAGGTGGTCATAAGCAGGTGTTTTCTACCCCACCAAACAGCAAACATCATGCAGTAGAGCCGTATGACTCCGGTATCGAGGATATCAGGATTACACAAGCAAGTAGTCACGAACAAGGGAATCCGCGACCAAGGAAAAGACCGAGCCAACGAGCCTGGTCCGACGAACCACAAAATAACGACGAGGGCGGTTGTCATGGCTCTACCGGTAAACCCAACATTATTCTACCCCCCACAGCACGCTCTTCCCACACTGATTCATCACAATACGGTGGTTTTAACAGTGTTTTCAACCTTGCGCAGATTACAACGAGTACTCCACAATCTGAGCTGTTGTTTTATCCTGTCACCGTAGTTGACGGTCGCCTGGACACCCTCGTATGAGGATTTAGCGCGGGCGTGGACACTGGCTTCTCTCGTGTTGATTATATTATGCGCATACAGCGCACTAGTCAGAGAGTTTTATTAATCGGCAACCTATTTGTATTGCTACTTTCATAACATTTCTTCATGAAATCTAAACGGCAGTGTACACATCCGGTACACGGCCGAGGGAAACGTTGTACTGCATTAACAGTTCTTTTCTATAATAACACATGTTATACTTTATTGCTCGATGTTAATTCAGACTCAGTACAAAATTTGAAATTTGGAAATTGCGCTAGCGTAGGCCTACTGTTGGCATCCTCCCTTCAAAACAACTTATATTTATCTATACACCGGCACCCCGTCGGACGGAATTTCAGCGAAATTTCCAAAAGTGTAAACTTTGGAGCACATTTCCGGCTCAATGAGAACATTTCGTGATGTTTTCATACTGCAAGTATGCTTACAGTAGGTGTATGTAGGCTTTTTGTTTGAGGCACTTTAACATGTGTGTTTGTCACTGAAATTACTCAAAAAGGTAGCACTGTATGATTTTAGGTATAAATTTGTCGGTATTGTTATGTTTTAGTGGTACACTATCTTATTATCGGCATTAGTAAATCGTTGTTTACAATATATATTGAAAAGCTATCAAACTTATTCACTCGTCAACGAATATGAGATGTGCTGCTGCTATGCGTTTATCACATTGTGCTGATGTGTGCTCAATATGAATGAAATGAAATTGCATGAATGAGCATGAGGTCACAGTGCAGATTATACTGAAAATAACGCAGGGGTAATTGTAGTACTCATGCACTACTAGATATGAGACAACTAATCTGATTCTGGACTATATTGAAAATAAACAGCCGGCGAGTTGACATTGAATTGAGTTTATATTGTACGTTCATGCCCGCGCGCATTTACGAAATGTACCAATAAAATGTTATTTTTATCAAGTTTATTATTGTTGCTTGCTGTTATTGCTTTTGACATAACATTTCAATCCTATATCAGAGAACGATACCTGTATGGACATATACTTTGCGCGACAGGTCGCCGACATGCCCGCGCCCTACCTATGTACATTAATTTAGCAAGAAACCCGTGGCAGAGCAGCAATTTTAGCCTCTAATGACTTCTGTTTATTTTATTTTATTGATTATTTAACCTCTAAACATTTAACCTCTGACCTTCTACTTACACTTAACCTTACCGTTTACTTGTACATATTATTGCAACAGTTCTTTTAATTTAGAGAGCACACATCCAGTCACTGTAATAATCATAACGTGCCTATTCGTACCAAAATTCCCTTGTATCATCACAGCATAACATGTTTGCTTGAGCATGCCCAGCATCTTCAAAATAAAATATAATTGCTTTGTTCAATTGATTTGTTTAAAATGGAAGGCAGATACTTATTGCAGTAGATTAATAAGAAACCTGACTGATAGGACGTCCTAGCTGACGTAACACTAACAAGATTTAAATCAGGTCAATAGATGGCGGTATGTGCATATATGCAGACGTCGCGCTTTTATAAAAAAAATAAGTGGAATAGGTATTTTAATGAAATTATACTTTTAATTTGAAGCCCACTCTTAGTTTATCACGAAAGATCTTTGTCCGGATCTCTCACTATTGTACCAAATTTCCCTGTTGCACCGCAGGAGTTTGCATTCGTGCATGCACATTATCTACTAAATAATATAGTGTGGTGACGAAATTATACGTTTAAAATGGAGAACGAATGCTCGACGCAGTAGTGTCACATGAAAAATAAGCACCGATGCCTCTCTTAAATAATGATACGGCGCCCGATTGACGTGACACTAACCAGAGAGACATGACACAAGATTGCGTAGCACAGCGTTGCTGTTGATCGTAAGCGCTGCGCGCGGATGAGACGGGCAGTT